TTTATCTGCCTGGAGTTCAACTTTAATCAAGTTAATATTTCCAGTATATTGTATATCTAATGTAAAGGAAGAAACAACAATTTTAATTGAAATATAAATTAAAAAAGCCTTCTTGTCCAAAGAAGATTAAATTGTTTTCTGTAACTGTTGTAAGTTAGTACTCCAAAACTAATGTACTACTTCTAGTTTGCCAAAAGTTACAATAAGCGTTTTTGTTACAAGACTAGTTGTGTATATTTTATTGATGTGTTTCATCGTGATGGATTTTATACAAATGATAGTTATCTGTGGAAGCTTGCTTTCTATAACTGTAGGATGAATCATAAATAGACATTCATTAACAATTAATTTTCATACAGACCTTTATTAACAATAGATGCCTTTTCTTTGCTTACTTTATCCCCCTTGTTAGTACAGTCATTTATATTTAATAAGTAACAGTTTGGCACTGTTTTCTTAGATATTTAGATATGACCCTGCTATAGTTCTGTCATTATTGTATGTTTCTTGTAAATGTGTTGGATACAGTTCTCAACAAGACTACATTTATTTTTGTTTAAAGTGTACTTGTGTGGTATTGTGTAAAAGAGAATGTATTCCTACTTGTGAGGGTTTTGGTAAATTGTAAAGGGGTATCATTAAATGTGCACTGTGGTCAGAATTGAAAATGAAGCTGCCTATACACTGAGCGAATTTTGGCATGTACTTGATGCAACAGTCAAAATTTGCTCAATGGGTTGCCTTCTCTACCGGCTCCCACCCAATAATTTTTTGATTGGAAAAATTGGAGGAGCCAAATGGAAGGTTGTAGGACAAGCAGTGCCTGCATTAAGTTAGATGCAGGTATTGTTCAGGTATTTTGATAGCTGGGGGGCCTCCCCCTCTCCTCCTGGCTAATCATAAAGCAAGCTGCCCAAAGCTCCAATTTATGATTGTGATTTGTGAGCCAGAAGGAGAGTGGGATGGAGATGTGACCACAGCACTTAGGTCTAGGAGACCTGCAGCACTACAGACAAATGGGCATGGAAGTTCAACGGGAGCTGGACTTCCACCTGCATGTATACCTGATAAGAGAAGAAGGCAGTACTGAATATGCAGGTGTTTTTTTTTTCTTCTTAGAAAAGACACTGTATAACTTTAATAAGATTATTGTGCCCAGAATTGGGCTTTAAACTGAAAACATAGAATTCTTTTTTGTGTCCATTCTGTTTGAAGATTGTTGGAGGTTAGTGGGAGCCATGCTGTTTCCATATGCACACCATCACTGGCAAGCTACGGAGGAGGATAAGTTATCACACAGGGCTCCTATTTCTTTTAATTCTTATACATCCAGGCTGCTGCATGCATATATTGCTTGTTTTGCGCTGCAGCCCCAAAAAGGATCCTGAGCAGTTATTGGCTTTTTCAGATGTCAGTATTTACATACTACTAGGCAAATTAGACCATGTGATTTACTGCGCAAGAACCAAGCACTTCATTTTGGGTTGCCGGGGGGAGCATGCAATGCCCTAGCAGAGAACAGTTGTGATATTCCTAAGTTATGTTAGAGGAGAGTGGCTCCCATAGGTGACACTACAGCTGGGGCATTTGCACCGGGTCTCCTGCTTGGTGGTCTAGGGCTGGCAAGACTCTTAAATATATGCTGGCATTGTTAGGTGGTATCATATCCAGGCCACTGCTGCGTTTTGCTCTGATAACTAAACACAAGCTTCTACCACTGACCACCAACATTTGGGGGGCCACTGACATCTAACATTTAAGGGGGAACTTACACTTGACTCCTGCACTTTGCAAGCAGTGCTGTGCATATGTCCTGACCACTGCTTTCTATATGCTGTGTTATACCTTGTATATTCCTCCAAACTGCACTGTACACACTATATTGTATGATGCATTCGCCTGATTACTGCACTCTATAATCAGTGTTGTACATTACAAAGTCTGCAGTTTTAATTATTATTAGACTTTATTAGACAGACCTGAATGGCAGTTGAGGCTTTCTTTATGTGGATTATAAAGTGTTACCAAAACAGCATTGTAGCTAAAACCTAGATCACACTATCATATATTTGTATTTAATTGCTACCTGTAAATAAATACATATATTTATTTTGGATTGGTAATCCTTGATAATAAGCAGCAAACAGGGGAACATAACAGAGTTACGCCAGAACAATATTATTATATAAAATACCAATCCCCAGGGTTTCAACAAAACTATTCAAAAAATGGATTGTCCCCTAATTATAGAAATCCCTTACTCGGAGCTGGTTCAGTAAACAGGTAGAAAATATATAATTAATCAAAATGAATTTTAATCGTAGAAAAACAAACTTGAACAATACATCCACAACAAAACATTTAAAATCAATTAAAAAACTTCCCTTGGGTAAACAGTCGTTAAAGAAACATAGGTGATCTGCAGGCCAACTGGTGTGGCATAAAGTAGTTAGAGCAGATACATACAATGTATTACATATGCGGATACAATGTATCCCAAGTTACTCACAGCTCATGTAGCTCAGGGAGCTCGGGGAGAGACAGTCCTGCTCGAATCCCACAGCGCTGAATGATTTTTCGCTTCAATAAGCGTATCCGGTAGTGGTGGTTGGGATCCAGAGATAGGGATATATTAGCTGGGTCAGTGCGGAGACGGAGTCCAACTGCATCGGAACCTATACCAATCCAGCAGAGATTGAGGAAAAACGACCGGACGACTGTTTGTAGTATTCACGCAGCCTGTGGATCCAAAGTTGCACCTGGAACTTCTTACCGTGGAGACTCCTGCATCTACCTTTCCTGCTGTTCACTGTGCGGCCGCACATGTATATTGTAGTGCTTCCGGGATACCTCTCAAATTTGAAATCCAAGCCCGCGGGCTAGAGAGAGTCCCAAGCAGGGGGAAAGGGAAGGGCGCTTACATTTTTTAGCCCTACTAATATATCCCTATCTCTGGATCCCAACCACCACTACCGGATACGCTTATTGAAGCGAAAAACCATTCAGCGCTGTGGGATTCGAGCAGGACTGTCTCTCCCCGAGCTCCCTGAGCTACATGAGCTGTGAGTAACTTGGGATACATTGTATCCGCATATGTAATACATTGTATGTATCTGCTCTAACTACTTTATGCCACACCAGTTGGCCTGCAGATCACCTATGTTTCTTTAACGACTGTTCACCCAAGGGAAGTTTTTTAATTGATTTTAAATGTTTTGTTGTGGATGTATTGTTCAAGTTTGTTTTTCTACGATTTAAAATTAATTTTGATTAATGATATATTTTCTACCTGTTTACGGAACCAGCTCCGAGTAAGGGATTTCTATAATTAGGGGACAATCCATTTTTTGAATAATCCTTGATAATAAGCTCTGCTGTCTCATAGTTGAGGCTTATTTTGATTGTTGGATTTGAAGGATATTTCTAGCTACAGAACACACTCAATTGAATGATTTGGAAGTCATTGGCACACATGGCTCCTAAGTTTTCAAAGACTGAAAGTACCAATTACTAATTTCACCTGCTGGTAAAATGTCTTACTGCAGCATGTCCACCAGTTAAAAAAAAGATGTTACATTGTAGGAGGTTCAGATGCTCAGTTGTAGTTCATACAGCAGCCTTAGTCAGAGTGGTGATACAAGGAAGTGCAAACTCACAGGGCTGAGTAAAATTATGTCCATGCATTGAGAAAGTACATTTACATTGTGGGGAAGTAAGTTTACAAACTTCTAGATCAATATGGTTATTAGGAGTGGGATAGAAATTCGATATAGATATGCATATTTATTTTTAGTGATTCGTCTATGCCACTGGATCACAACCAATGGTATGTGTACTCTAGGACGTTCTAATGGGCTCAGGGGGTACTCTCACTTGTTAAAGTAGTATTAACGCCATACATCTTTTTTTCAATAATGAATCCAGATTAGACAAATATATATTGACCAGAAAAGTATTTCTTTAACTTTTTGTCCAAGCACTTAGTCATCATGTTTTCACACAGCTGGCTTCACCTCTCAGCTCTGCTTCCCTGAACTTCCTGTCCAGACCAAGATCACAAGGGACAGAGCAGTCTCCATTAAATACCAATATGCCATATTTATTTTTTTCGATTACAAAATAATGAAAATATGTTTATGGGATACAGCACCTTCTCCTCATGTTATATCATTTTATTCACAATCAAACAGAAAATAATAAGACTACTCACATGTGTGAAGTATATTCAAGCAATGAATAACAAAATCAGGGCCGACTAACACTAAATGGCTGACGTGTTTCAGGGCAATTTCCCCTTCTTCAGAGCTTCACATGTGAGTAGTCTTATTATCTCCTGTTTGAGTGTGAATAAAACAATATAACACAAACGCTGTTGCCTCTGTTTTTTTGTGTTTGCTTTGCATTTTAATATAAGTTATGATCATAATAAACAAAAAAGAAATCTACAAAACCTCTATACATTCCCTGTAAGAGATTAAGGGGTGCTGTTAATAAACTTGCTCATTTTAGGGGTCACATGAGACACAGTAGTCCACACCAAGGAGTTCATAATAAGCAGCTGGTTTAATTAGGCCATACCTGCTTCAATTAAGTTAGAAAACACTGCTCTATGTTACCATAATGTAAGATCCATATAAGTTGCTATGAGTTTCTGAAATACTACAGAGATAGCACATGTACTGTTTCTGTTAGTGCACCACAATGCATTGCATTGGGGCACCATTCAGAGTGCAACAGCTGGTTTAATGCTGGTGTCATGTTTCTGTGTGATGCAGTACCATACACAGGAACATGCCTTGTATTGCAGTAATGTACCCATTACCACAACGCAGTAGTGTGAATGGGCCCTAATACTATTTTATCACTCGCATAAGTAGACCAGAAGATTGCAAAGGACCTTATATTGCCATATTGTTATCTTTGGGAGCTTGAAACATTCACTCCTGCTTTCGTTTTCCTTAGATTGCTTGATGCACTAGAGGATTATTCTTCACAGACAGCAAGCAACTATTTACCTGATTCAGAGTGTCCAGGGGGCTTACAGACCACACAGCAAGCAGTCTGCAGATATGACCTGGATGAAGTGGATACATGCTGGTTAGAACTTGTTAACAAAGAGTTCAAAAAGATGGGTATGTATAGATCAAGGCAGCACTATTTATGTGCTGTACCTGTACTTATTAAACCACACTCATAATGATCCTACATTTAACATGCCTATTTGAAAACAGAAAAGTATGTGATCACTGTAGCTAAAAGAAAAGTTTATATACATATTTTTCCAGTAAATACTGTACTTATTATAACAAATATTGCATAGCAAACCTTTGTTCTGTTCTTTTCTAAGAAAAATATATTCTTAAGCAGAGCTGTAATGATGCACAGTCATATGCATGACCTAAAGAAAACTTTACAATTCAGCAATTCACCCTTACTCCATGTTCTAATTTTTATACAGAATAGATCTGTATCTCATTTCAAATTTTTTTTAAATCAAAATCACTAATGAACAAGCAGAGTAATAAAAGACAGTTTCCAAGGGTGTAACATACAATTGTATCAGATATCCGTTTGTCCACAGACCGCAGGAAACGAAGATACAGTATAATACTTTGTCAGTGAAGCCAGGGGCGAATTCTGGATGGCCCAAGATAGGGGTCATGGGGGATGGGAAATAGGAGAGACCACACATCGCGTAGTATTTGCAAACCACTAGTATGGTAGGGCCAGCAAGGGGATGTTGAAGTAGAAGGGTAAGAACTCGATTTTAACCAGGGAGCTCCCCAAAGAGGAAAATCCAAGCTCTTCTGTTCTATGTGGACCGAAAGCTTGACTCCATAATGTCTGCAACAGTCCACCACCAGTGCCAAGTGAGTGGCAATATGTTATAAGTATGGGTCCAGAAAACCAATGCCGCTAGGTGATTTACCTTGCCAAATAAACTGGATAAAGGCTAATCAAATAGAACGTAGATAATTCCGGGGCAAACATATAGGCAATGTTTTGAAAAGATACAATAAGTGGCGCATTACATTCATTTTCAAGACATTGCGACGGCCAAACCATGAAATAGTCAATGTTTTCCATTGTTGTAATTCCGTGTGCAAAGAACACAAAAACGGGAGAAAATTCAGTGTGAATATATATAACAAGATCAGCTGGAATAAAAGTACCCAGATAACGTATGGCCTGAGTTGCCCATCCAAAGGTGAAATTAGATTGGAGTAATCAAAAAAGCGGGGTAGGCAGAGACATCGCTTCTGATTTTTGTAGGTTAACTTTAAAGTTGGAAAGGGAGTCAAAAGCCTGCAACTCCGATAGTAGACTTGGTAAGGATGTGTGTGGGTTAGTTATGTAGAAAAGGAGGCCATCGGCATATGCCGCTAGTTTGTGGTGTGTGTCCCCCAATCGAAGCACCTGCATATCCGGATTCTTCCGCACATGACATAGAAATAGCTCTAGGGTAAGCAGGATGCATTTGAATATGACGAAAACAGATAAAGACGCACTGACTGCTCTCAAAAATGACAATACAGTCATCATAAAACCAGCTGATCAAGGTGGAACTATTGTCATCATGAACTACTTGGAATATAAGCAAGGTATGCTGACTATGCTGGCTGATTCTTCCAGCTATAGTGCAGCAACGCATGATCACATGCGTAAAATTCTAGCAGAACTGCGTGTGATTATCGATATTGGCAAGATGAACGGATGGCTTGATGATGCTACGGCTGAATTCCTTTATAATGGCCACCCACATACTCCTGTCCTCTAAGATCCACAAGGGCACTAACCCGCTTATGTTTCGGCCTATTGTTTCGGTATCCGGATCTGTTGCACAACCTTTGGCACAATTTATTGATCATTTCCTCCAACCACTCGTGAAGGAGCTACCAGCATATATTAAGGGCACCGATGATTTCCTGAATAAGCTGAGAGACTTTGGGACCCTTGAAACTTGTTCACATTTGAAAATAATGTGTTTAAACAGATACGTGGCACTGCAATGCCCCTTCATTTGCCAATCTCTTTGTTGTTTTTTTGGAAGAATGCTTTGTTTATCAATCTGCATTATTTAAGATGCATGTCCAATTATGGGTTCGATACATTGATGACATCTTTCTGATTTGGTCTGGTGACAATCAATTGTTCAATGATTTTGTATCATTCTTGAACAGTCTATTCCCAGAGATATTATTCAATCCTGTGGTGTCTGACCATAGTATCTCTTTCCTTGATGTACTAATTACTGTTGTTGACAACAGATTTATTACCTCGGTCTATATAAAACCCACTGACAGGAACACACTTCTTCATTACGATAGTGCCCACACATGACACCTGCTTGATAACCTGCCAATCTCACAGTTCCTACGCGTCATGTGTATCTGTTCTGATCAGACTACTCGTGACCAACAGATTTCCAAGATGCATGACAAGTTCACTGAGAGGGGTTATACCACGGCAATCGTCGATGCCGCACTCAGGTTGCTCCGTAACACACAATGGGGGTGATTTACTAACCTAAACGCACGCACTAGGTGCGTGTGATTTTTACACAGCAAAACGTATTTATCAACCAAAAAGTCTCTAAAAGCATATTTCCACTAATGCCATATATGGAAAAATCATGCACATGATGCATATATAATGCTGCTTCACAGTTTAGACAAAAATGGTTAGCTCATGCATTTACATTCCTGCATTCATCAACGCAAGCAACACAATGTAGAGCTAATTTACACAACATCCCCTTGCAATTCATGCAGGGCTTTGCACAACACACCTGCTGGGTGTGTACACACTACAAAGGTGTCTAGATTCCACCAATAGATCATGCTGGGAGGGAACACACTACAGAGGTGTATACTTGTTCATGGCGTGTTTATAAGGTTAGTAAATCAACCCCAATGTCTCAAAAAGAATCCCTTTTGTACAAACGTTTTCTGAGGCCTTTAGTAACATCAAAAGGATGACTTTTAAAAATCTTAACATCCTACAGGCTCATAATGGTCTCACTTCCACCATCAAGAATAGACCACTGAATGTATACAAGCGTGCTAACACTCTCAGAAATGCTCTAGTACAGGCAGATCCAAGAGCCAAATATCAAACTTCATCATACACATTTTCAACCAAGACAGGTTGTTACAAGTGTTACAATTGTAACATATGTAATTCTTTGATTTGTGGCGAATCATTTACACATCCACGCAAGTGTAATGTGTATCATATACGTGGTTTTTTGACATGTAACACTGACTATTGCATCTACATTTTGAAATGCCCATGCTCAGTAACCTTCGCTTGTCCTGCTTTCTTGACGACAGATGATCCTTTGCCCTATAATATCGACAGCCAATCTCTTTTTCGTTACAACAACTCCATCTGTACTGTTTTTTTTAACCATCCTTATAGTAGGTTGCCCATGCATTGGCAACAGTTCTATTAGTTTTATACTATTCTCTGATCTTGTTTGTTCACCCACTCAAAAATTCCCCTCCTTTTTACTATCCTCATTGGTGTCTTCTACATTGGCTTGAAACTACATTAACACATGCGTGTTATGTGTTAAATAATGTTTAATAATCTTACTTCTGGCATTTATACCAATAATCTCTTAGATACTCATTTATTATTTTTTGTTATTAGCCTTGCCGTGTGTTTTGACACCAATATGATCAGCTATAGTCGGTTATGCGGTCTTTTTCCATGCATTGGACAATTATTTGTCGAGTTTCTTTTACTATGTTAATTTAGGTTTATCCTATACTTTTACTGTTTTGTCTTTTTTTCCTGACTTTTTGTACTGTTCCAGTATTCCCCCTTTTGTTAGGGTTCAAGTGTCTTTATATGTTGCAATCTGATATGTTTTCAGCCGGTCACGATCTATGTGCACATTGCAGCGTCTATGGTTACCTAGGTTACATATCAGGTGTCTGCATACTAGAGCCCAAGATGGCCGTGCGTTCCACCCGCTCTGTATGTTGGACCACGCCTCGCACATGCCCAGTATCCACCCTGATCCCTGTTGGGCAGTAACCTTGTCCCACACTGCACACGCGCCAGTGGGCGGTTCTCCTGCTTACCTAACAATGATCTCGATCCGAACGATGGCGTTTGGTTACCACGGCAACCCGACATCTGCCTGCACAGCGTGACTGCTGATTAGGTAAGAAGTTACTAAGCATTTTGTCCACTATTGTTTTAGGCATCCAGTCTTCATGCTTATACCTGCACCATTGATCTTCAATGGTTGAACATTTTCCACTTGAAACGAATACTGGAAGGTTACATTTCTCTCTTGCATAACATGCTTACAGCTATTTGAAATTCTGATGACGTCATAGCGACGCCCAGGGGGAGTGTTTTTGTTTTTTCTTCCACTTTTATGTTTGACTATATATACCCACACTGATGTTTGACTATATATACCCACACTGTGTTTTGTAACTTTGTCACTGCTATGCCTGATGAAGGGACCCTGTGTGGTCCCGAAAACGCTTTTGTATTTGACATAAGTTTTGAATAGATCCACGATTGACTATCCTTGAAGGAGTCTGGTGTGCTGGTGACATTTCTATATTATCTGCAACTGGCGGCGCCATCCGCGGTCATTCCAAGCACCCTTCCCCATATGCAACAAACCTTTCTCTTCATAAGGAATTATGAGATATGACATTTTTTAAGCATTTTGAACATTGAAATACACACAAGGTGAGGTGACACTTTTTCCAGTCTGGTGACAAACCCACCTGGAGACACTTTTGTCTAGAACCTTCAGGAAGAATATACATTACTGAACGGTTCCCTGTTGGGGAAGCACAACAAACCCACGTTTGATTTAATTAACACATTCTAGCTAACGAGTTTATGTAAATTTTGTTAGCTTCTCGACTGCATTCAGTAAAAGAAAATAATTGACTCAGGATGTCTTATGACATGAGGCCAAAAAATCTGATATGATATTTTTATGGTCGCACCATGACACCCTGTAACATAGAACACTTAGATAAACCAAATGTGTTCAGTACATGCATAGGTTTAAGCAATAGATGGGGGTGTGCTTTCAGTTTTGTCTAAGGTCCTTCATTATTATTATTATTGGTATTTATATAGCGCCAGCAAT